CAACGATGCAAACAGATTTGGATTTGGAGCTCGTGGGCCCAAAAAGTGTGTTTTGGCAATTTACGTTAAGTTAATACGGAGCCCAAAACCCCAAACCTATAAATATACCCCTACTCGCCTAAGTCTCACCTTTGCGGCTCACAACCCATCTGTCTCTCTCGTTTCTTCTCTCGGGATTGAAGAATAGGACCAGACAAAGAACAACAACAGCGAAGAAGAAAGAAGAAAAGAGAAGAAAAGAAAGAAGAAGAGGAGTTCCACACCGTCGTACCCCATTTGTTAGTATTATCGTTATAATATATTTGTCGAATTCATGGTGAGTACGTGGACATCTAGCGTATGGTTATAGTCATAGGTTTGACTCTTACGTTTATAGAATCGTTACGATTGAATTATGTGAACCCTACGTGAGTTGTGTCTCGTTTACGTTGTTTATGATTTGGAAAGCATGAATTGAATTAGATATGTTTATAGGTATGTTGGATAATGTTTTATTATGAATTTAGAATCTTTTGATGTCTGTTGTTTCGAGTTTAATGTTGGGTTGATGTGGAAAAACGTTGCTCGTGCAACTCAAGAACTTATCGCGTCCCATGGTAGGTCGGTACGCCGGGACGGTACCGAGCTTCCGCCACTCCCAGCGTTTTACCTTCCCTCTGCCAGCACCTATCACCAAGCGGTACCTCCGTACCGGGCGGACAGTAGGCCCCTACCGCCGAGTCGATAGAGGCTACCATGAAAGGCCTATGTGTTGTCAACATTTGTCGTCGTCATTTGCATTTTTTCGTGTCATGCATTTTTTCGTGGGCAGATACCTGGGCCCATGATCTGGTCTAATACACAATAATCATTACTCTATCAGTGATTGTAAACTTTTGAAGAATTAGATAAAATATAAATCATGTTAAATTAATAATTTCTAATACAAAATAAATGTTATTAGCCTCTAATCATTTTTACAATCATTTTGATATATAAAACGTGATTTAAGATTATTTTTGTTTAGTTGACACATCGTTATATTATTTAAATCTAGTTTTTTTAACTAAGATTAGTAAAAAGTATTATTTCATCTGTTATTTTTGTTAAATAGATTAGTGAGATACAATTAAAGAAAGAAAAATTATATGATTGATATTGATTTTAAAAAGTAAAGAAAGAGTGAGTTACAAAATATCACAAATATGTTTTGAGATAAAATATAATGGCATAAAAAAAGAGATTAAAAATACTAAAAAGTAGAGTATATATTTTTAAATGAAAATATGTAATTTATAAAATAAAATAATTCTTTTATGATTTTTTATTTCTTAAAACTTAAAAATTTTCCAACTCTTTTCAATTTCTCTCAACCACGATAATAATTATGAATGAAATTTCAAAATTAGTTTCATATTCTAGTATTAAATGTCTACATACCCACCTCGATTTGTTTGGATTTGATTCAATGGAAAGTTTCTCAAATACGACAACCAGTGTCGGTCATCAAAGCCTCCATGTTGCCGATTCTGATCGGGTCGAGTCGCTGCCGGCCGATCAAGCTCGTTTTTTCTTAGAACATCACCGGAGTTGATGGTACTGCTGTCGAGTCAGATACCGGAGGAGGAGCAGAGCTGCATCCATTCCGTCAAAACCTTTCTTGCTGGTCAGGGTGGGGAGAGTCGCTGGAGCAACGTCACCATTGCCCGAAACTGTTCGGCAGAGTTGCTGCCCAGACGCCACCGCCGGTCTGCCGTCTAGACGCCGTCGCTGCTGTTTTTACCGGAGCAGAGAGGGGACGGGGCACACAGTCGAGGTCGCCACTGCTGTACGAGAGTACTTTCTATCGAAGTTCACTGCTGTTGTCGCCGCCGCGTCGTGGATTTGCGTCGTGCTGTCGCCGCTGCTACCCACACCGAAATCAGGGAGGGCCACGTCAGGTCTGCTCGCAGCCTCTCTCGCGGCTGCTGTTGTGGCGTCAATTGCCTAAGAAACCAGCCCTCGCGCGTCACCCGTGGATCGGAGAAGAAGAACGAGGAACAACGCTTTCCATCGAAAAGAAGAAGGAATAGTACTGCGGTAGTGGAGGCAAAAATCTATTCATATATATATACCCTACGGTTTTGTACTCTCTAATTTAAAATAATTTTTCTGGGTAAAAATACACTTTTCGGGATAACTTACTCCGAATTGAGATCCATATGTGTATTTGGGCTCGATTTATCGATCCCTACCCAAGGATATTTTTTTTATAATCAAACAACAAACATTTATAAATTCCACCTGGTCCATTCTAATTTTTTTGATTAAATAATATCGATCACTCTTTTAATTTAAATCTTTACAAATATAATCAGATTAGTTGTAACACCCCAACTCGCGTAACCCGAACCAACGGGTTAGCGAACCGGGTTGTTACTAAGTTGACATTTGCATGCATAAATTTTCTTTTCTAAAATAACAATTAAATCAATTATAAAAAAAAATTCGTCCGTAGAGTTTTAACTAAAACCAAATTCATCATAATAATTAGATAAACCCAAACGTCGCGGAAGCATAAGAAAACCCAAGTAACGTCCAACGGTCTATATAATCAAATAAAATAATGTAGTTTAATTATTAAAGTAAACAAGAGTCATCCACGCCACAACACCACTTCACTGCCTCCGGGTTGCCCATCCAAATCTGTGTTCCTACCTGCGTGCAGTCAATCAACAACGACTACACGCTCAGCAAAACGCTGAGTGAAAATATACCTAAGCCAGCATTAACTCACAGAATAGCACCACATTAACATACAATCAACAACAGCAAGTGATCACATGATCACAGAGAAAAATAGCTTAAATAAACATATTTATATTAATACCTTCCATTTGAACATCATGTCCTTATTTTATTTCACATCAACTACTTTGAGTCATGGCACCCCAAGCGATGCTATAAAAGGGCCAGCTCAGAAACCCAAAGGAGATTCACTTTGGGCGGGTTGAAGCCCCTGTCCCTGCGATGCCAGGACAGGTCGCGGACTTCCGTACGTACGTTTTTAACCCAAGACCATTGGGGGTGCGACGACGCCCCGCAATGGCCAATTTCCTAACCATATCCTATTGGTGATTCAAACAGTCAATCCAATTCAGGTCCGCCTAATTATACTAGGTGGCCTATTTCACATATATTCATAATCCACAATTTTCACCAATAAGATCAATTTAAATAAAATCTCAGTTCACAATTCACAACAAATCACGTAGCGGCCTATCCGGGCCGAAGACCCACGATTACCGTCATGCATAATCAAACAAACCCAAATTACAATCAACCCAACTTACCTGCGCGGAATCAAGCCCAAAGAATCGATCCTCAGACCCGCTGCCCCGCCGGAGCAGTCCCCATAGTCGCCGGAACAACCCCGGCACCCTGCCGGTAGCCGCCCCGGCTGCCCAAATCCAAACCAGACCAAACAGCCCCGTTTGGAATTCCCTGGCCACCCAAACAGTCCCAAACAGTTCAATCCAACCCAATTGTACCCAATTAAATCCAAATAACCCAATTGAACCCGTTAGGACCCAATTGAACCCAATTGCACCCAATTGGTGCCAATTGGATCCAATTGGTCCAAATCAAGAGGCTGCCCAGCTCCGGCCACCTCGCCGCCGCCGTTGCCGGCGGCCGCCGGAGGTGATGACGGAAACAACCCCCAAACATCAATTCCATAATTTCAACACAACAATCACAAATTCTCAATCAAATCGCAAGATTATACGCCAAGGAAGTTCTAATCTATGAATTAACGCTAACGAAAGGTATAGAAACCACAAATCACCTCGAAAAACGACGAATTGAATTTGAATCGGAGTGAATTCGCCGCTGCAACTCTTCCTTGGTTTCGCCGGCCTGCTGCGCGTGACGGAGGGACGAAGCGAGGACGCCGGTCGGAATCCCTAGCGTCGACGGCGACGATAGCGGCGAAGGTTCTCGACGGTTGCTGCGGCTGCTGGCTCTCCCTGGCAGACGGACAGCGAACAGAGGCGAAACGGACGAAGTGGAAGTCTCGTAACTCCCCCCACTCCCTATTTAATATAAATTTAATTAAATTTTAAGGTCCAGTTTACACTTCCTAACTGGTTAGGATAAATTTAGGCCCAATTACCTCATTCGGCAGTCGTATCTTGGGCTCAGTAAGTCCGATTCTCAATCCATTTGCGCGGTCGGGTTCAGAACAGTGTGTCGTACAACGTAGGTCAACCCCCATATTAATTATGCAAATTAGAAAATAATCTTCGTATTGATCGGCCCAATAATTAATTAATTCTACAAATTAATTAAAATACTAAGCCGAGTTTCGGGGCGTTACATTAGTCTCGTTATATTGAGACATTTAGAATATCTAATGTATTTTTTAATTTTAAAAAGAATAGATTGTCTTAAATAAATAATTCTTATTTATTTAATTATTGATTAACTATAGACCGGTTTCTAGAGCGTTACATACCATACCGGACCGAATCGGTCTAGACCTATTGGAACGAATAAAAATGCATATTTTTTTAAATACTTTGATCAATTAAATATATTTTAGGGTTTTTTACTTTGTACCGTGCAAATAGAAAAAAATAAAATAATAGGCACCCTAAAAATAGATACACAATATGAACTACTTCTATGTGGAATCATAAAAACTAATGTGAAGTATATTTTTTAAGTTTTTTAAAAATTACCTAACAAAAAGACTTTTTAATTAAATAAATTAAGATATTTATTAAAATAGAGCATCAAAGTGTAATACAAAATTTAAAAAGTAGAATTTTGATATTTACCTCTTTTAGGTCCTGTAGAATTATTATATTCATTCAATACTTTCGGTCCGGACCTAAATAATATCGAATTTGAACCGGACCGAACTCTAAATAGCTAAATTTTCTGGATCTAGGAGCGACTCGAAACCCATTCCATTCGGATTCCATATGGACCTATTAAGTATTAAATCGTTTTTTAGCATTTTAGGTCCTACCTAAAGTGTGAACAGCCCTACCCAACAATCCTACCTAAACTGCTGCAGGCTTCCCAGTTCCATCACCATTAAATGTTGTCTGCGAACCCAGCATTGATGGAGGGGAGAAATCTAGGAGAAATTGGCTGTTGCTATGGCGATGGAGATGACGTTAAGCTTCTAGCGGCTTCGGATGATAATCGTGAGTTTCTTGGAGGATTTTTATTCCTATTTGACCGCTGATTTCATCTCAGAGTGATCTTTATTTGGAATGAATTGACTAACTTTTTTCCTTCTGCCTCTTAACCCTTAGAAAACTTAGCTTTACCAGACAAGGCTCACTCTTACTCACCGCCATTGAAGAAGATGCTATGTCAAAAACTATCATCAGGCTCAACATCTAGGAGTCAAGGTAAATTTTGGGTGACATATCTGATTATGTTATAAGTGGCTTATTTGAATTCCTGCAACGAGCAGCTTCATCATCTGTTGTGGAGAATTTTGGTGATGCTGGTGAGTTGTATGCTGAGCTGCAGAGAGAAAGGCAAAAGAATGCAATGCTTTTAGGCATACTTTCAGGCTCAGCCCTGAAAAAAAATGCTCAATTTCTCGACACAAACAATCAACAAGTATGTTATAATAATAATCCTTTATTTACACAGTATTAGCATTAGCCTTGTCAGCTATTCTGAAACTAACATTCTATTAAGGGGATGTTTGGCAACTTCTGAATAGGTAAGTGCTGAATCAATAAGAGGTCTGAATCATTAAGTGCTGAACCAGTAAGAGGTCTGACCCATTAAGAGCTAGTATATTGCTTAACTATTCAGAGGCAAATGTCTGATCAATTTAGATAAGAGGTCTTAATCATTCAGAATCTGTATAATACTTAACCATTCAGAAGCAAATGTCTGAACCATTCAGACATCTGAACCATTAAGAGGCTGAAACAAACAGTCTGAACCATTAAGTGCTGAACTATTCAGAGTCTGAACCATTAAGAGACTGAAACAAACAGCCCCTAAATCTATGATGGGATTTCTGTCCTTTACGGCTTTACCAGAGCAGCTATCCTGCAACTGCTGCTCCTGAAGAAGGAATCGAGGAGGGGCAAAAGATGGTTAAGTGGAAGACGTGTAAGACCGTATTCAGTGTTCTCATTTTTCCATGCAATGCAAATTTCTTCTAAAGACTAATTGACTATGAGTGCTGCTAGTGTCTTTAAAGGCCACATGCTAAATCTGTGAGGAAATTTAAATATTTTGAGGTGATAGAGGCTAAATGTTGTGCGGGTGCCCTATTATGAATCTGGGTGACCTGACTTTTTATAAAATCTATTTAAGAGGAATTCCAGGGCCTAAGGCACTTTTCCGGTCATGTGTCTGGAGCACCCAATATTAACAATCCAGGTTGTGTTTAACACCTATACAAAAAAGAACCTGTTAGTCGATGTGCCCCAACCCTTGAGGGGGGTGAATAAGGCGTTTAAATATTTTTGGGATTTAATAAAATTAGTGTTGGTAAATGCAGATGCAATGTTAAAACGTAGAAAATTAAAGGCGTAAAATAAATGACACACCAATTTTATACTGGTTCGGGAACTCCCCACTCAGTACCTTAAGGTTCCTCCTTAAGGAGTTTTGAATCCACTAAGTCCTAGTCTCTTGAGCTCCGTCAAAGCTTTGCACTAGTTTGGCAAACAATCCTTACAACGAAGATTTGAAGGCTATCTTCTACCTTTTTCCCCCAAGGCTATGCTTGAACCTTTTACCCAAAGATTTCTCAGCTATCCTTAATCGTCTACACAAGGATTTATACGACTATTCTTGACGGTTACGATTGATGAAGAATGTGTCTAAAAACACAGAAAAATATTCAACACCTTTTGGCCTATGATAAAGAAAAAGATCAATCCTTGGTCGGTGAAGAATGGAGATTATACTCTCTAAAACAATGCAAGATCAACCTATGAATGTGAGAGTATATACGTATAATCACAAGCTCAGTATGTGTTTAAAGATATTAAAAACAAGGCTCTTGAAATAGCCAAAATAATAAAGAATGAAGAACAAGACCAAGAACACACTTTAGAATACGAAATGAGAGATTAGAGCTTGAGTCGATGATTAAAATTAATGAGAATGGTAGGGTATTTATAGGATTGGATTAGGAGCCTTTAATTTGAATAATTTAGCTGTTAGGAGGCTCCAAATACCATAAATAAGTTGATAAAACTGTATATCCAATTCAAAGTATGACCGCTATGTGTTATTTTAAGCTAAAAATGTGCTCAGACGGTCAATGGGTTCGACCGTTAAAGACCCACGGTTGACCATGCACCACTGCAACGGTGAACTTCAGCTAAACAACCACAAAACGGTCGATAGTTGCTCCCTAGCAGTCCTACCACTCGACTGTTTGTAGCCCAGTACATTTTTTATGCGTGGAACCTAGGATTTTGGTAAAATGGCCATAAATACTTCAATACTTATCAGAATGCAGTGATTTCAAAACCGGCAATCTCGTATTGAAAAGATCTACAACTTTTGTTTTTTAGTTTTTTGAAGTTCACAAAATAATTTTTTTGAAAATATTTATTTGATTATTTTATTAAAAAATAAATACCCAACGGAAGATATTTTTGTGTTGGAATTTTAAGCGCGTAAGATACCGAAAAATATTGAGAACACCAGAAAAATGAGAGAACAAACACAAGGAGAATATATGAGAGAAAATTATATCTTCACTATTTCAGAACGATACACAAAAAACTCTCCCTGTTTACAAGTGCTAAATACCAGACACTTATAAACAGACTTTTCACACCCTACACCTAGATGTATTTTTCCGAGTAACTAAAACTAGTTACTCCCTACACTCACTCACACAATATTGGTGATATCTTGTGTAACACCTCTCTCTTTAACCTTCCTCTCTTTTTTCTTCCCTCTCCTATTCCTGTGTGTAAAACTCACACCCAAATATATAGAAGAAGATTCCTCTTATAAGAGGTGAAGGCCAAAAAAGAGCATCCCAACCCATTACTTTCGTACACCACCAAAAACAAGGGAAGGAGACAATTAGCTAGCTCCCCTTCACATGCATGGCATCATGGGTCCACTTCACATGCATTAGGTGTATGCATGCATATTCCTTTTTTTTCTTTTTCTTTTTAATTAATCAATCCCAACATTTTGTACGTGTGCAAGATTGAGTTTAGAAAATTTTTTTAAGCATGTTTTTGAGTGCACATTGAGTTTTTGAATGTAGACACATAAAATCACATTCTTACATTTAATTCTACCTATATTCTATGCTAGTTTGGTGTTATAACTTCGTTCTTGAAAACCGATTTTTGTCGTACTTGAAACACTCAAACAAACATTAGCTCATATATTATTTGTTAACAACAAAATGCGAGATTTAGCAAACCAAGGCTAACAGAACCACCTCTTGATATTGGTTTGGGATTCCAGTCCACAAAAACTTTATGTCGATATGCCAGTTTAATTTTTGTTGGTTCCGGTATAGGAATCTATCTCTTCGTTTCTCATGATCTCATCTTATAAAAGAATGAGTGCCCCTCATCTTTTATTTTGTTTTCCTGGCACATGATTAGGCTTTTGATATCCAAGTGTAGGATTCTTCATGGTTATTTTTGCTTCTTTTCTTGACCCATTTTAGTTTTTGCCATTCTACTAGTTTTTTTTGTTTTGACATTTAGTCAGAGTATGACTAGTTTCCATGCAATAATGACAAGACTTGATTTTGATCTTTGATGTTGAAGCAAAGTTTGAATTGTGTGATTTTGGTTCACGAAAATATTCTTTTGAAAATTGCATTTTATTTGGGCAACTACCAAATCCAATGCCTTCTTTCGTTGGTTTTCGGTGTAGAGTGTCGCATTTGTGAATTCATTTGAAATTGTCAAAGAATATGGTTTGTGCCCCAGTTTTAGCCTTTTTCATATTGTTGATTAAAATACCAATTCTATTTTTGTAAATCCGTGTTTAGGCTAAGGAGCTTATCAATATCCTTATTCAAATCTTTATTAGTTTCTCGAGAAGCTTCGAGAGCTGCCTTGAGTTCTTTTTTCTCACGAATTTTTCGAAAAAGGTCCTCTTGGCAATCATAAAAAACTAGCTTCAACTCTTCAGAGGTAAAATCATCGTCAAGAGAAGATTTCTTTTTGATAAGACCTCATCTTCTTCATTTGATGGCACAAAGCACATGTTAACTGTTTCCTCATCACTGGTTTCACCACTGTTTGAAGCTGAGTTATAATAGTCCTAAGTAGCTTGAGTACCTTCTTTTTTTTCCAACTTTTGATAGTCCTTTTTAAGTTTTGGGCATTGTGGTATGATGTGGCCTGCCTAACCACATTCTTCAATAAAAGCTCATGGGAATACAAAGAGCGCCATATGACCGATGTCTTGACCTCGGCGCATTTGTCCAGTAAATTTACTATGCTATGGTGCCATTCATGAGATTTCAGTAAATTTCCTATGATGTCAATTGACTCATCAGATTTCATCTTGATATTCTTATATTCTGCAGTTCCAAGTGCTATCTTTGTGGTTTTGGTTTACTTGTCACCTTCATGAGTAGCTTCAAAGTAAATCTCATGCCTCTTTTGCTGATCTACAAGAGCTTACTCGTGCAAATTCATTAGGGTCCAATGCACAAAAAAGAACATTTATAGATTTGGCATTCAGGGATAGTTTTTTTGTCTTCTCCACTAAGTTTGTCAAGCGGAGTTGGAACTCGTACATCACCTACAGTAGTAATTGCATCATAGGGGCCATTAGTAGTGATAGTCCTTAATTCATAGTCAATGGATTATATGAAGTTCTCCATACGCATCATCCGGTAAGTGTAGTTGTCACCTTTTAAAAATGGAGGGAGGGAGGGAGGGAGCTTTTATAGGTCTGAGATGAGTTCTAGATGGCAGAAGTACATTGAGAGCTGTTGAGAGTGATTTAAGGTTGATTGGTGTGATGAAAAAAGGAAATTCAGCAACTCTCTAACGGATCCGGTAGTATGCCAGTAGAGCTATACTGCCTGGCGATAGAAGCTACTGGCTACTGATAATGGTTTGTACCGCCATAGGCCAAATTGCTCTGGAAACTTTGATCACGGTTGGTAGCAAGGTCATGCCTCACGTAATATATACTGTTTGTGGGTACACCTTTACCCTCCAGGAGTCTTCAGAAAAACACGCTTTGTTTTTTTAAGAGAACACATTTGAAAAGCATTTTGTGCAAGAGCTATAATGAGTTAATGACTATACCATCTAATATCAAACCCTTACAATATGAGGCCTATGAACTCATCAAAAACTTCTATGTTAAGCAAAACACGGGGTGGTTGAGTGTTGAGAATTTGAGATTGTACCTGCAAAATGATAGTGTCTAAAAAGACTTATCTGGAACATCAAAAGTGAGGGATAGGGCATTCAAGGCTAACATGTGACTCCGTCCAAAAGTAATTGTCTAAAAATTTTAACTCAAATTGAGAGTAATTTATATCGTAATCCCAGCAAAACTTTTAGCTATGAGTGAAGGGAGTACATTAAATAAATTTTCTGTATTATTATTTTTTTCTAAGATGGCACTGAATAAGAGTCAGTGAAGAACTAAGAAGTTTTAGTAACAACAATAAGGTATTACTTCGAGAACTAATAAATAAAAGTGCCAGAATGATCAAATCTTAGAGCGCAAATTAAGAAACAATAGTGTGCGACTTAACACTTCTTAGTGTGCGGCTTAAGAAACACTAGTGCACCGAGTTCCTCAATTTGCGAATTAGGCGTGGCTACCTGAAAACTAATGCACAAATTATCTGATCTAGGTTTTGCATTCTTAGTAGCACATTAAGGTCCCTTACCACTCTCCACGCCGATTTGCACCAAATAGATCTTTGGTGCATTTTTTTAGCACAAAAAAGTAGAACCTCAAGCAGTATCCAGTAATCCTAATCTCCCTTCTATCCCATCTAGATTTTTTGTCAAATACCAATTGCATGGTTATCTTGGCTGCATTACTCAGATGTCATTGAAAATTTTATAATCAAGACGGGTTAGCTTAACTCGTTTCTTTGTTATGAAACAACTTAGCGTCTTTTCAGTGCTGTTGTAAATTTACAACGCTTACTTTGAGATTTAATATATGTTTCATTACTTGAACAAAGTATTGAAGATGTTCTTTATACCGCCAGTTTACTTATACAAAATTGATAAGTCAGTTGATAACTAGAATTACAGTTTTCGTAAATCAGGTAGTAGGTATGGAGAAGAACTCAATTGGAATTAAAATTGTGATCCAACTATTACTTAATGTCTGATGGTTGTAGATTTTTGTATGTTTTTATTGTCCTTATGAGATACTCCGTATATTGTTTGAGATCCTAACCCAATATAACTAAGCTACACTTTGTTTGAATATTGCTTTTATTACCAAGATGGTACTTTTGGTGAGCCCAACACTTGTGCTAGCTCAAAGGGTGTTCGTTTACAAAAGTGTAATCAAAATGGTACATGGATGGTCTTGGTTTTACTAATGGTTATTAGTTTATGAAGGTAGTGGAAGAAGACTCTGGGCAAACATCTTTCGATTGTGATGAGCAGCCAATAAAAAGCCCTGAAAACGAATCTGGAGCTGAGTTTGATGATGATGAAAGATATGAGACGCTTCATATATATTCACCTGAAATTTGTAATTTAAGAGCATATGGTAAGTGATCCTCTTATATTCTGCATTTATTCTCTGGCATTATCTGTAATTTATGTTTTCACAACAACTTTGCGCTCAACATCTAGACCAGTTTTTCTAATTTAAAAAGGCTAATAATTTGTTAACAACTTCTTTTGATTGGGAATATCTTATAGTGTACTATCTCAGGTATAGTTTATTTGTCTGTACTCTGGAAGAGATTTAGTTCATCTGTGACTGTGACTATGGTGTGTCCGGTTATGGGTATCAAAGACTTTCTTAGGAAATTGCTGTATTTAATTTTTATTGCATATTCATCAAGGTGTGGTTTCCTTACTATAATTGCAGTATGTTTACAAATGCCCTAACTTCTGTCCAACTGTAATTAATCTTTATCCCATGTTTAGTTTATAATGTGTTTGTAATGAATGCTATTTTTCAACCTCTTGCACTGATCATTTTTTCTTTCTGTGTTTATGAGCAGATTATCTTGAGGATGGCAGGAAGGTGAGTGTTAACATGGAACTTTTTGCTAAGCTTGTCACCAGTATTTTCAAGATCCAGTTTCTTGTTCTTCTTTGAGTTTTGAATTATTGCTAGTTATATCTCTGTTATGTGATAAATACAATTATCATACTAACTCCATTTCAGAAAACTGGTCCCACTTTTGTTTATGGGTTGCTTCAAATTACTGGTCCACCTTTTGGAAAAGTACCACCATAAAGCTACAGCCTCACCCCACATTTTTGTTTATCTCAGCCCACTTTTCTTAAGGCTCTCACCATTCATTTTCCATTTTAATAAGACTCCACAACCTAACAGTGTACCGATTCGGAATCGACACAAACTTGAAATTCACTAGAACGAAAGACTTTGAAGTCTCAAGCCCTGTACAAGTATAGGTTATTTAAGGCTTGATGTAATATATTAGCGTATTACCCTACGGACCAACATGACCTTAAAAAGAATTAAAGAATAAAGTTAAATGCCGGAGAAAAGCTTATTCTTGGCTAGGCCTTTTTGCTATTTACGAAAAAAGCTGTTATAGGTCCGATCTTGCTCTGGGACCAAGGGGAAAACATCCGATTAGGTGAAAGCCTACTTATATCTTTTTTCTTTTTATATCTTTCTCTTCAGCGACATCAGACTCGTCAATCGTCCGATTCACCCGACCGGGAAACATATTTCGTTCCACCTCACAGTGAAGAGTAACGGAACAAATTAAACATTCATTAGATCTAGCTAGCAGTACAACTGCTTTTTATACCTTGTAGATTGGTGATGTGATACTGTGCTGGTCCTCATTTTAATGACCATTTTTAACTAAGCGGGGGTGAAGTAGTAAAACAATACAAATAAATATGATGAATTCAGGGTGTAAACCTTGCTCATAAGAATTTTTGAAATGAAAAATAAAGGCCGAATAATTGATTTTACGTTTTAGGTGTTCCAGTAACCGGTGTAAGTTCGATCCTGCAATATAAAAATATAAAATATAAATTTGATCATGCCATATAACTTGATTCATATTTCTACAATGGCAGATCTATATCATAAATCTTCACGAGAAGTGCCGTGGAAAAGAGCTCCTCTGCAAGGATGTATTGAAGAAAGTTGGCTGGTATTGAAAATTGAAATACTTATTCTCCCTCAACTCACATTTATATAATTTTCACAATATCAAAAATAGCCGCAAGTATTGAGTTCTTTTTTGGTTTAGAGGTAAGTGGAAGGATCTCAGAAAATCATGTCCGTATTTTTCTGTATTGATTTAAACTTGAGCAGGAAAGCATTTTTTCTGATGGTAAGACGATTCTCCAAATAAAGGCATTGTGTTCCCCTGATTCTTGTGAGTGGTTCACATATGTCAGTAACAATAACAATCAAGTAATCCCACAAGTGGGGTTTGAAGAGGGAGATGTATGCACACCTTATCCCTACCCAAAATAAGACACTTGGCTCAGAAAATAAAATAAACAGGAAAGAAGAGCAGGAGAAGGTAGTAATGGTGGACATTTGAGGCGAGTAGAGAGGAAAACTAAGCAACTCATATCGTAAAAGGGAGAAACGAGGAAAAGCTACCTATAAACAACAAAGCACTTAAAGAAATACATAGTCAAACCCTGAATGGGCCTACACGAAGATAAGCACACTCCTAAGGGCACCCTACAAAAATTACTCACCCCCAAACTCCCAAATCTGTTGTGACGTGCTTGGTTAGTTGTAGAAGCCCCAAGTTCTGTTGAATCACCACATTCCAACACTTCTTAGGTGTTCCTCAACCTAGCCACAAATTCCATACCCCTAACCTATCACAACTCCTCACGGAGGCATCCATACTTCTGCTTTGCACATACAAACCACCTCAAGTTCTTCTCACAAGCGCATCTGCTCATAAACCAAATCATCTTTATAATTGCCACTTGTTACTGCTGTACGTGTAACACCCCAACTCTCATACTCGGGATACATAGGTCAGCGTGTCAGCCTGTCAGGTGCTACCAAATTGGTATCCATATACATCATTTTCAAACAAATTTACAATGATTTATATAATTGAATACATCATTTAAAACTTCTATCGGAGTAAAGTAAAACATTAAGAAAGCTTAAGTAAATTATCCAAACCACAACCCCTTGGTTCTTGTGCATAAAAGTAATAAGTTCTAACTGAAATAGTTAATAAACTAAATCCTCATATTTTCTTTGGATAGAAAATAACCTTCTGAAAGAACATAACACAACCTGAATGGCCCATCTCTCTTCGTCATTATAGTAATGGTATCATTTGTACTGTATGATGCTCAGCTGTGGATGTCATTTTCTGTGGTGCTCCAAGATAAGACCTCATATGTTTTATGCAAGATTAAAGAAGAATGAAGCTGCAAAGCTCCCGTGTAAGTCTTCTTATCATTTAAACCCCACAAAAAGCAATCATATACAATACTTTTGAGGGAGGGAGGGTGGGTACGTGGGTGAGTGGGTTGTGAATTGTGATGGTGATTGTAATTGCGATTGAGATTGTGATTGTGATTGCTTTTCAGATGTCAAAGGAGTTTTTCAAGTGCTCAAAGGAAGTGAGGTGCTCATTGATTGCTAAGATCATCCACTATATTGTTTCCCCACGGCCAGCACCAACAAAGCATAGCTAAGTTTATGGACTTCATAGATAACTTGATGTGGTGAAAAAGCATAGGGATGTGGTAAAAAAGCCTAGGGGTGCTTTGGTTCTATACCTAAAGTTATTCTCTCTATTTGTGTGTATTCTGTATGTATGAATGGAAACAACCGCTCTATGTTTTAAACATAGAGGTCAAACTGCGTACATCCGACCCCCCCTAATGTTGAGTAGATTACACTGTCTCACCACTTAAATTTTTTTTTCCAATTGCATGCCATGTGTTTTATCTTATGCTGTGTTGACACAACAATTTTTTTCTTTGCCATGTAATAATAGATTTTAAGTAAATCTTTATATTTTGATATTTATCTTGCATTTATTTAAAATATTTGAATTTTCAAATTCTACTTTTTTTTTTTGTAGTACAAAATGAATTACATATTGATGGATATTGCTATTTTAAGGTGTCGATTGATGAATTCAATATTGTATCAACACCCCACAATTAGTGAAATCCAATAAATAAATAAGTGAAATGAAGTGTAAAATGTGTTTACGTGGAAATTCAAATTGAAAGAAAATTACAGATGTTTTGAGGTGGTATTCCAATGGGGTAATTTATATTAATCTCGAGACAATTTATCTAAACACGAGTATGGGAGCTTGGAGGTTTCAATATAGCTACAAACTCATAGAAGAGAATTTTTAAGAGAGGCAAATCAATCCACTTGAATCCTACTATAAAGTTGTAAAGTTGGGTTTTGGAACATTATTCGTACTCGAAACTACTCGAAAGTAGAGGTTTTCAAAAAGACATCTATGGTAATTTATTAAGTAATTATGTATGCAGTTATTGCAGCCAAAATGGTACTAATTTATGGAAAGCAATTAAATATAATCATTCTATTCTTAAAAGCAGGGGAAAAACGCACCATGTCTTTTCCCGCCCATTTGCCAAGTCTTATGAGCCATTGATATTTGCCAATCTATGCATCTACGGCTAGACCTGGCAAAACTGACCCGGACCCGATAACCCGAACCGAATAACCCGGAACCGAACCCGATTTGACCCGAAAACTGAAGAACTGAACACCCGAAATGATCCGAACCGAACCGAACCCGAACCGAATGTATTCAGACCCGATTCAGACCCGAACCCGATTAAACCCGAACCGATTAAACCCGAACCCGATTAAACCCGAACCTAGTTAAACCCGAACCCGGTTAAACCCGGAACCGATTAGACCCGGAACCGATTAGACCCGAAACCGATTAGACCCGAAATTGATCAAATTCATTAATATTTCATTTATCAAATGAATTTGGAAAAAAAGAATTACCTATATATTTTTACATATGTTGATATGTTTCTAAAAAAACATATTTAAATTATGAGTACAAACCATGTAACTACTTTCATGTACAAATCTTTTATTTTGTACTCCGTATTTTAAGGAAAAAGAAAAGTTTATTTGGAGATAAAGAAAAAACGAAAAAGAAAGTTTATTTAGGGGCGTAGGGAGTACTATGTATATTTTAATTCATTATAATACTACCTCCGTCCATAAATATTTGTCCATTTTTTATTTTTTCAGTCAATATTTAACCTATAATTAAATTAAATAGATAATATAATATTTTAAAAATATTTGATATAATAAATCTAATAAAACTCTTTTTATAAGTATCTAATATCATTTTTATTTAGTTTGAAGTCAAAATTTACTAATTTTGACCAAAAAAGTCAAAAGTAAACAAATACTCGGCAGTATATATTTATTCTAATATTTGAAACGCAAAATGAAATGGATAGTTTAATAGAAATTTAGGAAGTCGAAGTAAAATATTAACTACAAAGGTTGCGCCGAAAACTTTAAGAGGGAAAACTTTAGAAACAATTAGTCAATTATATAAGTGTTTATTTTTTATGTACGTCCGTCTTCAATAATACGGAGTAAAATAACTATGAAGTATGTCATAAATTAACTAGATTTGTTATGTGATATTATTCATTTATTAGTATGTGTTTACATTATATTTGAACTAATATAAATTTAAACCGATATAAACTCAAATCAATACAAAGTCGAACTGATACAAATTCGAACCGATACAAATCCAAACCGATACAAATCCAAACCGATACAAACCCGAACCGATTCAAACCCGAACCGATACAAACCCGAATCGATACAGACCCGAACCGATACAAACCCGAACCGATACAAACCCGAACCGATACAAACCCGAACCGATACAAACCCGAACCGATACAGACCCGAACCGATATAAACCCGAACCGAAACCGAAAACCAGGCAAACCGAAATAAACCCGGAACCGAACTGACCCGACCTGAACCGACCCGAACCGATTATAACATATATCCGAAAGAGACCCGAACCGAAAAGACCCGACCCGGACCCGAACCGATTGACCCGATTGCCAGGTCTATCTACGGCCCATATTTACAGCGGATGAAAAGGAGAAAAAAAGGAAATAAGTACTCCGTATTAAATAAGTACCGCAAAAAAGGCTTTAAAAGGAATCACATTTGTATACGATATTAACATAATTACACAATTTCATATCTAAATTACTAATTAATAATTTGTAACGAAAAAAATTAATTTATTCCCACGGAAATGATAATCCGAGTATATTTAATAAATAAACAGTATAAAACAGAAATTATTAATAATTTAGATTTAACGTGTTAGATGCCTTGGTAAAAAATAATTAATAATTTGTAACAAAAAAAAATGAAAATAATTAATAATTTGAAACGAAAAAAAGTATTAATTATTTGGAAACACATTTATACATTATTGTAAGATAATTCATACGTATTAAATATATCGCATAAAAAGGCTTTAAAAGGAAACACATGTATGCAATATTATAATTAGATAGTTTCATTTTTTAGAATGCATAGGTACCGTATTCTTAAAAAGGGAAACAAAAGAAAGGTATTTAAGGAATTAAGTGATTACAAAAAAAGAAATCTGTATGTATTAAATAAATACACAGTATAAAAAAGAAATAATTAATCTATTCTTTATTTAAAACGAGGAGAATTTTCGAGCATGGATTTCCGTCAATCAGTTTGAGATAGAAATGATAAATGTTGAAAACATAATAATGGTTTAAAAGTGTAAGCACTGAAAATCAGGTCATGGTACAAACCATAAATGGTAAGTGTTCTGAATATAGTATTAAATTAATTGTAAATAAATATAATTAAATTTGACTTTGGAAAATTTAAAAAAAATCTGTGTTTCCATAAATAATAAAACATAAACTGATAAAATTAAAAGTTACGC